ACGGTCGTAATACGGTCCATGGAAATACGGCGAATTTACGGCCGCTTACGGCCGTAAAATCGCCGTATACGGCAGTATACGACGCCGTAAACGGCCGTAAAATCGCCGTATACGGCAGTATACGACGCCGTAAACGGCCGTATACTGCCGTGTCTGGTTGCTGTAATGCTCGTTCTGGGTTTCTTTGATTGTATAATTGAATGTCTTTTGCTGCTTTTGCAAAGAAGAAAGTGTAATGTCGTCGTCTACATCGATTCAGTAGCTACACGCTCTTGTAAAAGTTTTTTTTCTGCTTTGCTAGTCAAAAAAAAAATTTTCAGAATCGAGCAGTGCGACACACCGCTCCTCCCCTTTAGTTACATCCTGTGTTTGTGACCACAGATTTCCTTTCTCTCTTTAAAGAACAAAGCAATGAAAATTTTATTAGTACATCGAGCTGAAGCAGTATTTATTCGGTATTGTATCCGTATAAGGCATGTGCACATAGACAATATAAAATTATTGCAGCCATATGGTCGATAGAATTTCGATGACTTACGGTACGATGACGACCATGACTGTGACCAAGAAATATTGATGACGCCGATATCTGGTCGAATGGCTTCTTCAGAAATTGCCAGAGAGTGGAAATGAAAAAACAAATTCCTTACGAGGTCTTTGAAACTCGCTAAAGAATTCAATAAGAAGTGCATAGCTTCTATGTTTTAAATTCAAGCACGAGTTCTGAAAAGCTAATCTATCAAAAATAGAATTTAAAATGCGATTTCAAAGATTGATAGATCTGGTTTCGTAACTCTGTCATTAGATAAGAGAATCTTCTCTAACAAGTAAAGTACATTGGTACATGGAATAGGAAGAATACATTTTCGAATATATGGAAAATATTATATTTTGGAACGATTTCTATCAATGCGAAACGTACTGTATCAGAATCATAATTGACTTACAACATCATATAAAATCAATAATTCTTTTATTCAGTACATTTTTTGTTGCTATAGAAGTGCAGAATTATTTTGTCTATTAACTACGAAGGGCATCATTTGACCGTTTGAAATTACATTGAATAAATACAGAATGAAAAACATCAATGCTTTTTAAATACAATAAAAAAAATTCAGTAATATTTTATAACAATGACAAACATCACTTTATCTAATGAAATATCTTCATATGATACTCAAGGTGCTATCATATTTATCTTTGGTGTTATAGTTCGGTATGCTATTGGATTTGGTCTTATTCTTATTGATAAGATTGATCCACGATCATATCATATAAAAAGATATAGATATACAAATATTTATAAAGCAGTTAATGATTTATATGAATAGGAGACACAAAATGACATATTAGTTGTAATTAATGATAAAGATAAACGAAGAAAACTTTGAGAAGTATATTATGGTACTGACAAAGATCCTCCATCAACTAACCAGTAACGCTTGTCGAACTGGCTCGAGGGTGTAGGTGTGGGTGGGTGGATTGGTCTGGGTCTGGATGGGTGGTTGTGAGTGTGGGTGTAGGTGTGGTTCTCTCCTTTTACTACACTCACATCCACACCCTAATTAAACTAAAACTCGTCGTGATATTTTATTAGCATCAGTAATAGTCAGAAGAGAAGATACCGTACCTGCGGCTAGTGCTTCTATAGAAAACTAATTGAACTCCGTTGGATTGACATTTACTTCATGACCAATACATTTATCAAATATATTATTTATTCTTTCTTATTGTTTCTCTATTGACATTGATTACATTGCAAATAATTAAGATTTGAAGTTTGTTTTATTCAGCTTATGAAATAATATGGTGACCGAATATTCTGATTAGTTTTTTTTTCTTTGTTTGGACGATATTGATATATTAATTCATGAGAGAAACGAAAGAAATAAGAAGAACTATTATTTGGTTCAATGGGCGTAGCAACGAGGAAATTAAAAGTGGCTTCTAATAAATTACTTTTCAAGTAATTCAAAATTAACTTTATTGAAGTCCAAATGATACGTACAAAAGCTTTGTCACTAATTATTGCTTTATGTATTGGTGATTTAAATTTGCATTAATTAATGTTTGTACAGAACAAAATTAATATTTTTGTCATTTATAGTTTGTCTAAATTTATGATGCAATATATTTTCAGTCTTTCTTCTACTATGTAAATATGCCATTAGATAAGGAATTCTGTAGAGCTAACTTCATTGTATAAACTTAGGCTTTGAGTTGAATAGATTTCAGCTAAAATAAAAGAAAAAATGAGCCAAATAAAATTTTTACATCAATTTCAGTTTGGAGTTGCTTCAGGCATCTGCTTATATTACAGAAAGTTTGAATTAGAAATAACTCATGAGTACAGATTTTCAAAACAAAAAGGATATAAAATTCTAATTCTAATAAACTATATTTTCGAAATTCATTGTTTCCTCTAAGAAATATTCAAAACAGAAAGGAATATTTTGTTGTAAGCCTTTACAATCGAAATCATGCTGAAGTAAACATGTTCATTAGAAAAGTTATTATAAAGTAACTGTGATAATCTTTCATTTTTCTTCGATGTCATTTGTATGTCAAGTTTAGTATATTGACTTTGGTGCAAGAAAGTACTCTACAATTATCTCAAGGAAAGTCTCAGTATTCTTCGAGAAAAGAACTCCAAATGTTTTGCTATTGTCGAAAAAAAGCAAAACATTTTTGTCATTTTGGACAGACACAATCTGCAAAAACAGGATATGATTAGATGTTCAATGTAATTCCTCAACAAACTGATCAATGAACATTATTCAACATATGATTGAAATTTGTCTTGCTCTTTAATTTAGATATTAAAAAGGTGAGATCAATTTTTAGATAAAATCCTATCGAGAACTTCTCCATCTATCGAAGAATAAACGTCAGATGAGAATGTGATAAGTTGACTGACAAACTATTGTTGTTCTGAACCTTCGTTCTCTACATATCGAAATTTTGCTAGATGTTTTAGCATAAAAACATATAGTTCCTTTCAAGTCATCTAGAAAATAGAATTTTGACTTCAAACTGTCACGAACAAAGTTCTTAACGAGATTCGTTAATGTAGAAAATTTCGAATATTTAATATCTCTGGATAGAAAAAAAAAATAGAAAAGTTACACTTTGTCCAAAGAATTAATCTCATGTTCATGCAAAATTTGAATTCGAAAGTCGATTTTTCATGTGATCTGAGTAGAACTACAGGTTTCTGTTGAAAAACAACGAAGGCCCGAAAAGCAAAAGCATTCTAAATTTTTCTATTACTCATCAAATGAACACCGTCTCAGTCGAAAAGCATATCGTTGTTTAAAGTTGAAGTTTTGTTCGTGCTATTTGGATTAATATGATCTATTTTTCAAAAGAATTTAACAACATTTTTTCAATTTCGAATTCATTTATCTCTGTGTTTTTTTTTTAGGATTTGTTCATGGAAACTTCATCATTTGGATTCTTCGTCATTTATGCAATCTATTCAAGAATGTAAGCTCGTTAAATATTACCTTTATTTTTTTTTATTTGATTTCTATACTTTTACAATGAATGTATAAATTGATAAGGAAATTAGTATCTTTTTTATATGCAAAACAGAAAACTTTTATATGTTATTATCCTTATCCTTCTTTTTTTCCTTTGTGTATTGATCCTATGTAATGCAAAGTAAGAATTGATAATAGAGAGAAGAAAATAATGTAATTTTATGACAAATGAATGACTCAACTTTTATATTGTATCATATTATTTTGAAATTACACTATAGAATGACATAGAAATAAAACACATATTTATACAATTTATTTTCAGATAATGACAATATCGGGCAATAGAAACGGTATTCATTTACAAAGTTTAAAAGTCGAAGAATCGGCTGCAGTGACTACGGATAAATTGATTAAACCAAAAAAAAGAAGAATCCAAACAGGAAAAACTTTATGCTATACTGTAGAAGCACCCATAAAAGAAGTTGATGATGAAAACATGTAAGAAATGATTTATTTATTGTATTTGATATTATATTTTCGTGAAACACGATCTGAAATGAATGTTAAAATATAAAAATATTTGTGTAGCTGAAACAATTCTCTATAAGCAGTATCAGATCCGAAGACTTCAACAGAACTGCTTGGATTAAGATCTTCAAAAAAAAAATTTTATTTGATAGTGGAAAATAAGGCATCACTGAACTCTTCAGAACTTCCTTCATTGACTTGTTTTCTATTTACTGAGAGTCCAAAAGGCAGTTCGATGAAGGAAATTCATGGAGAGTTTGAAGACGTCTCATTTTGCTCTATGCAGTAAAAATTTTTCTCAAAAGCTTTGAATAGGTACTAGAAATCTGATTTTTGACGTCTTGATTTTCCACAAATCCTCATTCAAGTAGTTACGTTGAGACCTTCGGGTCTATTAATCCTGATGGAGAATGCTTTTACCTGATTCTTGTTCGTTATTATCATGGTAAAGAGAACTTAAAAATATAGCTGCTATAAACTTACTCGTCTGTTTTATCAGAGACATTGATAGACTTTGTTGATATACAATCAAAGATGGTGTCCTAATATCGTCTTGTTAACTACTTCCTTATTGTATTTCTGGAGCATCAACTAACAGAATAGTGAAGAAATTTCTTCTAAATTAGACTGAATAAAACAATTTTTTCGTGATTAGCAACAACAACTACATCATGTTTCATACTTTAATCTCGTACGAAGTGCGCTAGCAGCTTTATACTATTATTTTTTGTTTGTTCATAGAACACCAAAATCTGATGTTCGAAATATTATGATGACAAAAGTACTTTGTTTTTTGTTCGGTAAAATCAAACAATTTCTTATTCATTTTATCATTGTTAATGTTAAATTTAAAGTATTGTCGATTGACAAATTACAATACTTAACTTGTGTTAAATATTTTGATTTACATACAAAAATTTATCGATGATTTCAATTAAACTTTGATTTTTTTTTGGATGAACTTCAACACAAAAACAAACTGAATAATATTTTTATCTTAGAAAGAAAAGTACATACTCTTTATAATCCATTGGACTGTCTATTTTTGAATTGCTTAAGATATTTTTCGAACTTATATAAACGAAATCTCATTTTTAATAACAACGTCGAATACTTACATTGTAATACTTATCAACGGTACAGAACTTGTTGACATATTTTTTTCTAATGTTTTATATTTTTGATGTATTTGAAGTTTTCTGGCAGATCATTATGTAGTTGGCACATGTTCAGATGCAGCATGCAAATTTGTTTGCGGATACTCGTAGTGACCAATGTGATAAGTGTGGAAAATTAATTAATGGTTTTGAACATATTAATTTTTCGTCAGATTTCTCGAAATTGGTCAGTCCATGATCAATTGACATAGAAAATATCGACTAGGAGTTCCTATATAAATACAAACAACATGTTGAGAAAACATATCATTAAGATAAATGAAACGACGTAGTAGTATACTATTCAATAAATGAGCCAACATCCTAGTTCTAAATAATTTGTCCAAGACTACGTAGAATAGAGAAGGATGGCATCTAAACTTGACCATACTATCTCTCACATACATGATGATATTCATAGTCACTCATTCATGGTGGCTACTCTAGACATGAGCAGTATCATGTTTAGACTCCTATAGAGATAATCTGTTTCACTCTGCTGCATTCCGATTATAGAATATTTGAATTTTCGAACTCAATGGGGAAAAAACAAGATTCTCTTCATCCTTACTTGAATATATCATAATAATCAATAGTTTTAATGACAAGACCACATGGTATCAGCTTTTTTAGTTCCATTTTGTTAGATGGACCGATTTTTATTAGAAAATCACAACTAACAATAGATTCTATATGTTTGAAATGAACATCTTCAACAATTGTTTTGGATGGCACCAAAATTATAAATACCAAAACTCGTTCAGCTTTATCTTTTGATCATTTTAGATAAAATAATCATAAGTTTCAAAAATACAAACTTGTTCGAACTATTTTAAATATTAATGCGATTAATCTTTTTCTTGGTCGTTCTAATTTATCAATCATATTTTGATCAATTCAATTAAAATCTTCTTGTTTTAACATTGATTGTAAATTACTTAATTTATTAAGTTTACAAAGTTCTTTTGCAATAAATGATAATACCTGGATTAGTCCATGTCGACCAACAAGTATCATATATCGTATTCGACTTTGACAAAGTGTATCAAGTACTACAATATCAGAAATATCTGTTTTAGCTAAATTATCAATAGATGAAAGAAGAATTCTAGCACAATCAAAATGCTACATTTCTCATTCCAATAATAATAGCTTGATCTG